AAAATTGTAAAAATAGATTTTAAAAACAAAACCAAACAGAATTTTATAAACAAGAAAGTGCCAGCATTATTTATTAAAAAAAATGTCATTACATTTCAAACAATATACAAGTTAACTAACACAAAATAAATTGTACGATGACTTTATCTTTGAAATGGACCGTTTGCAAATGAAATATCTTTAATTGTCCTTGTTTGGAACAAGATTCAAAATTTAGGATCAAATGTATCACAATCAAAAAGTCAATAACCAAAGTGACATAAACTCCAAACTATAGGGACTGTTAACATAATTCGCCCTTAGTTTACTCACACATTTTTTTGACGTAGTAGATTGAATTGTAAATTTTGATAAATTTCAATTTAAAAAAAAAAATTCAAAGAAAATTGTATTTGGTATAGTCAAATTATATTCTATAAATAATTCATGCATTTAGCAAACAAATATTCATTATTTTTAAATAATTCACCAATTCAAATGTTTAGTGTTTGGTTCACTGAAATTAAATTAAATAGAATAATCATTTCTTAATCTCTTTATAGAATAACAATTCCCTAATAATAATGAACAATGATTTCATTTGTAATATCTTTATTTTTTTCAGTAAACCAAACGCAAGAATGGATATTAAGTTGGAGTGATTTTCATTTTATTTTAGTTTATTTAAATGAACCAAACATAACTTAAAATCGAAAATTATTTGGGGCCCTAATTTTTTAGACAAATTTGAGTGCCCGAGCCAGCAACCTTGCCCACCTTTCCTCAAGGCTGCCCTGATTTTGCAATGCTTATATATGAGTTTGGTAGGAATTGTGCATCGTTAGATTTTCAAAAGTTAATCACCAACTAGTCACCTTTAATGGACTTAAATACTTATAAATCTTACAGCAATGGTAGGGAGCCCAAAATTCAGTGGCTCGAATGGCTCGAAACTGTCAAAATGGCGTCGTTTTGCTGTCAAAACAACGCAAAACGACATCGTTTTGACAGTTTCGAGCCATTTGAGCCACAGATTTTGTGGCCCTCAAACATTTTTCTAAATCTTATTGACTCTTTAAATGTACCAATAAGAGTCCTATAATACCTATGTTTCTCTCATCCCTCATTAAATTTCTCTTTTTTATTACATTCTCTCTTTTTCCGCCATTTCTCCATATAACTTTTTAACTTTTTCTTCTTCTTCTTCTTCTTCTCTTTCTCTCTCTACCATTTTTCTAGAGAACCTTTCTCTCTACCATTTTTTGTAGAGAGCTTCACACCACTATTGTCTACCATCATCGTCATCGCACCACAACTGTCTATCCCTACCATTGCCACACCACCACTGTCATCATGTCGTCCACCCACCACTGCCGCCATCATCATTCAACTGCCACCACCATTCGTTAATCACCTCCATAGTCGTTGATCTACACACTACCACCTTCCTTCGTCACCATCAACAACGCATACTTCTTCTTCCATCATTGTCATCATCGGTGACTTTCAAATCTAGCCATTTTCAACTCAAATCTTCATTAATAACTTCAAAATTTGGCCATGTTTAGATGCCAATCTAGCCATAGCATGGTCATTGAAACTCCTACCAAGGAGATCGGGTCTCTCTCTATCCTCTCTCTATCTTTTTGTGTGTGTATACATAATGATGGATCTCTATTAATTTATTTGTAAAGATCTAGTTAAACTAAAATTGTATTTAAGTGTTAATATGTTTATGTGAATGAATAAGCGAGTGTATATATGTTAATGTGAATGTGAGGGAGAGGGGGAGTAATTAATTAAGTGATCCAAAAAAATTTACTGAATGTTAGTTATCAGTGATAAATTTATCATCTTCCTCCTGCTTCTCTATTTCTCTTATCACCACCAGATTTGATGAGGTGATGAGAGTAGTGACTTAGTGGAAAATGATGTTATTTTTTCCCAAAAAAGTTGTCAAATAATTGTTGAAAAACATCATCAAAAAATATCACCAGAGGATGAAGTTGGGGACCGAAGATGGTCGTCAGCGGTTGGAGACGGTGGTCGAACATGTTTGTCGATGATTAGAGATGGCAATTGGACATGATAGCTGGCGAAAGGAGATGGCTGTTGGAGAAGGGGTGAAATTATGTACAGGAGGGCATTTTGAGTTTATTAATAGGGGGAAAAAAGAGTGTTATAAGTAAATAAATTTAGTTAACAAGATCGGCCTATAAGTATCCTGATTTTCAAAGCGGCTAAATCTCAGCCTTTCATTAAGCCTTGCCAAATTGTCTAGGGCAATAGGCATGCTCGTCCATTCACCATTTTCCTTCTTTTCCAAGGAAGCTTTTAGTAACACCCGATTAGTTTCTTAATGCATTTATGACATTTTTATTCAAGAAAAATATAATTTTTTTTAATTTATATTTTGTGTAGTTAAAAAATAAGTATTTATGATATTTCAATATACAAATTAAATTTTTTTTTTTATGTTAATCTCAATTTATTTTATTTTTACTTTGTGTTGTATGATAATATAATCATTCTGTTTAAATAATTTCTTAAGTATAGAACGTGTATGATTTGAATATTTATCTACCAATGACACGTTTTTGCGTGTGGATATAAAATTCAACGATTATAGAAAAAAATTTCTTACCTATGATTTTTGTCTAAATACATAAAATATATTTATTTAAATTAAGTTTAAAATTTTGATTATGAATATGTAATGTGTTTATAATTTCAACACAACATAGTTGAATAATAATTTTGTTTATAAGAAATTAACCAAACTTTCATTGAAGTATTAACATATTGAATCCAATCTATTTAAAAATTAATATGATTCAATAAAGTAATTAAAATTAACTTTTAAATAATAATTAAGCAAACAAACATGTATCTTGAGTTTTTATTCTTTGAATGTGTGATGTCCCGGGTCTTACACTTGATTGGTATTGCGTAGTCAGATAATTTGTTTTACTTTCGACATTTTGATTATCGTATTGGGTCGTTGAGATTTCAATTCTGCTATTATTTAACCTCTCTTAACGTTTTCGAGTTAAAATTTTGAGTTTTTGGCGTTAGAACTTGTATCCGGGTGTGGAAGCAAATTTTGGCTTTGGATGGCAAAATCGCTTGTGCGGATTTGGCAACCGCTCGAGTGGAATCACACAGGATTTTTGGGAAAATTCTGGGCAGAATCTGCTCGTACGGATCTGAAAACCGCTCGTGCGGATTTTTGTTAAAAATCTGAGTTTTTCTGTAGCTCAAATCACCTATGAGAGGCATTATAAGCCGCTCGTGCGGATTTGGAATTTCCGCTCATATGGATTTTGACACGTCTGTCTTGAATTTTGAGTTTTTTTCCCCAAATCTAATGCCAAAAACATGTTTTACACACATTTTCATCTCTCTCTCTCTATATATACATATATATATATATATTCATCTTTTTCCTCCATCTCTTTACAAACCTACCCAAACCCAAGCTTCTCTCTAAGATTTAGCAAAAACCTTCAAGAATTTGATAGGGCATTTTACACCAAATCGAAGAGGGCGGCAAGGGCTACGTTTGCACCGATCAAATCAAGTTTTCATCAACAATGAATTTTAGGGTTTTCATCTCCTTCCTCTCCCAAGCTTGAGGTAGGGACTTTCTTAGAGTTATATATATATTTTTGCAAGTCTATGCTTGTTTGGAGTCTTTCTCTTATGTTTGAACTATGGTTTTGGGTTCATGAATTCTAGATGATTTTAAAAGTGGATTTTCTCTATATTTCCCCCAAACTTTTGAGAGTATGAGCTATGTTTTAAGTGTGAGTATTGTTTTGGAAAAATCCTTTAAAAAATGAGACAAAAAATAGTTTTGGTGGAAACCCTAGAAATTTGGGGATTTTGGAAAAAATATTGAGATATTATGAAATTCATACTTGATAAATTATTATGGTGTATAAATGATGGAGGGATTTCTATAGTGGTATCTAATGAGGGATTTCATAGAGAAATGAGAAATGTTTATTGTAAAGCTTGATGAATAGCTTATTGTTGGTTTGTCTTTAATAGACCATGTTTTAAAAATGATGATTAATATGTGGAGAATGCATGTATGATGATATTGTTATATTATTTCTTAGAAGATATATTATTATTGTTACATTGATAAAAAATATGGGAATTTGATCACAATGGAAGATTGTGTGGTGGAATTGCAAATGAAACTATTATAATGCATTGTTACATGTTGCATTGCCATTCCATTTCATCTTCATTATCATTGATCTCAAATTTGCATTTGAAAATTTATTGCCATGAGAAATGAATTGTTTTGTGAAACAAGATCATCTTGAATTTATTTTGAGGTAAATACGTTGGTAAGTCTGGATAGTTGGTGAAGTTTGGTACTAGTTAAGTTGCACTACAACAAAATACACTTTTGGCCACCAAATTCGGCGACTAAAAAATATTTAGTCACCAAAAGTTGTGGAATTGGCGACCAAAATTTTTTTTAGTCAACAAAAGTACAATATTTAGCTACTAATTTTTTTTAGTCGGTGTATATTGATTATTGGCGACGAAAAAAAAAATTACTCACCATAAATGCCACAATTGGCGACTAAAAAATGTTTTAGTCGTTGTATGATTAGTTTTGGCTACTAAAATTATTCAGTCACCGAATGAAAAACAAAAATTTATTTTTTATCTCTGGCGACCAAAAATTTGGTCACTAAAAGTGTGTTTTCAGCGACTAAAATTTTAGTTGTTGTATTGTTAGTTTTGGCTACTAAAATTGTTTAGTCGTCGAATGAAAAACAAAAATTTACTTTTTATCTTTGGCGACCAAAAGTTTGATTGCCAAAAGTGTGTTTTCAGCAACTGATTTATTTTTTAGCCGCCAAAGAACTAAAATATTTGGAGGGAGACATTTCAAATTTTGGAGGAATTTATAAAATTAATTGGCAACTAAAAAATTTTTGGTCGTGAATTGTGTAAAATATATATTTTTTCAGCGCCTCTCTCTCTCTATTTTCAGCGTCTTTCTCCCTCCCTCTCTTTTTTCCTCTTCCATCACCCATGGAAGCTCGATCGGAGAGTAAATTAGAGTCCAATCCCTCTCAAGTACTCTTACGATTCCAATCCAAGGTATGTCTTTCGCCCTCTCTCTATCTCTTTCTTTCTGTCTCTCTCTCTTTGCCTTCTTCCATTCGTATACCTGTAAATCGACCCAGCCCCAAATCGTAACCTAAAGAGGTTGAGTTGCATAAGAACTTCCAATCTAGAGTTGCTATACCTGAATGCTCTAGTTGGGTTCACTGAATGCTCTTTCGTCAGGGTAACCTTCTTAGATTTTAAATGTTTGATTGTAGTCGTTGAATCCGTAACTGCTAGTGCTTGGTAAGTTATGGATGTCTGGAGGCAATAGTCAGATGAAATACAGCCTTTTCCACTTCGATTTTGGGATATATTTTGAAGTTTTGTTAAATGCCAGTCAGGCTCTGCCTTGTCTATTTTCTTGGCCCTAATGTGCTTTGCTCTTATCTATTTTCGAAGCACATTTTTAGAAAATTGACTTGGTTTTATTTTATTATTTTCAGTTTTTGTTTATCTATTTATTCTTTTGACTTCAGAAATCCCAACAAACAGAGCTATGTTGTTTCTAATGACAGCTTATGTTGTTCTTCCAATGATCTCATTCAAGTAGGTAGTTCTTCATATTTTTTTACAAAAATTTACATGCTCATCTTCTTAACTATTCCTGTGTGATGATCAGATTGACCTTGCTTTACATGGTGTTTTGTTCTTGTGCAGTGTGTACAATGTTTATAAGGGTGTTCAGGCAAGGAAATGAAGCATGCTATTGGCTTTGGCAATGGTAAACCTGTTACTACTGAATGCTTCATTTGTTTTTTATTTTTATTTATTTTTCAAGTTACTTAATCGATGTCGTCATTGACTTGGTGGGAGTTGTGGTGTGGTATGTAACTATCTTGGCTGTTTGTTTTTTACATGCTTAGCTTGAGAATCTTATTTGACCATATTTCTTTCATTCTACTTCTTATGTCTTGTGTGGGGATTATTTGTCTCCATATGATATAACTGGGAACTATCCACATTTGGTTATAGTGGGAACTGGACTCGCATTTGGGTTTCTTGTGGTGAGATATATGTTTTAATCCAATCCTTAAAGCTTGATATCTTTTGTCAATTATAAACATTTTGATCTCTATTGCTCTATATCTAATTCATGGAGATTATAGTTGATTTACACAAGCGAAGGTTACATGAGTGGTGAGATATCTGTCTTAATCCAATCCTTCAATCTTGATGTCTTTTGTCAATTTTAAACATTTTGATCTCTAATGCTCTATATCTAATTCATGGAGATTATAGTTGGTTCACACAAGGGAAGGTTACATGAGTAGTTAATCAACATTTTTATTCACACAAAAGTGGATTTCTTTTGATTAAAACCTCTATTTTTATACTTGGCATCCTGAGCTTTTTGCTATTCATACGAAATCTTAGATGTTTGTTTAAAGGTGAAGGAAATGAAGTACAATAAAATTAAAAACAAATACAATTGGGTTGGTTCTATTATTTGGGACACTTTTTGCTGAAAGTAAACCCAAGAATTTGTAACTGAAGTGCATTGCACCACAATATTTGGGACACTTTTGCATCTGTTAATAATGTTTTCTAGTGTGCCTCTGTCTATTTATTTTTCATTGTCTTCTTGCTGCTTTGGACATCCAAATGGATGTAGTTTAAATTTCTGTACAAAAGATACTACATATAAGCATTTAAAAAAACCAAAGAAAAAAATACTTCAGTGATTGCTAAAACTTTTTTTAGCAATTATATTTTCTTCTAACCTTGTCCTGCTATTTGTTTATTGTGTTTGATTTGTTGTGTTTCATGTTTTCCCAGTGTGCCCTTGTGCAGATTTATATAAATTCGAGTATGCAAAACTAATGATTTATTTGAAAATATTAATTATATTTCAGTTTTACATATATATATTTTTTATAATTTTAAACATGCGAATATTTAGTCAATACTAATGATTAATTTTATTTTTGCAGATGGTTTTTGACGTAGATGGTTTGGAGGACTAAATGTATATGCAAGAGTTGTGATCCTTGTACCATATCCCACACTTGCAGTGGATTTTACTTTACTTATTGGTGATTGGTACAAGACCAGCCATAAGGTGAGAAAATCTATATTTTAATATATATATATATATATATATATAGATGACACAATTCTGCGTTTACGAGTTCATGTTCTTCATGTTTACTTAAGTATTTTATTTTTTAATATATATCTGAATTTTTTTTTAAAATAATGGCATTGGCAGTGTGCATTTGTTAAATAATTAGGAATACATTATTTTAGATAATGTTTGTATTCTAAAACCAATTCAACAATTTTTTTTAAAGATAATGAAAATATTATCCCAGAAGTCTGTCTCCTTTTCTAATAGTAGTGAGTCAATCTACTTTGAAATGTGACTAGAAGAACGGTGCCTACATGAAATTTACATGCATGTCATGCTCTAATGGTTTTCAATAAATTATTAATTTTCCAAGTCTTGATGTTTGCAGGCATTGCAGCAATTTTTGGATTCAGGGAAAGCTCTTTCCTTTCCTGATGGCATCCATATAAATGGGAAAACTCAATCTACCTGTAGTGGTGATCAAGGTCCGCCCCATTTTTATTATTGGAAAATGTTTAAACAATTTCCAAGTATTTTAATCCTGTCAAAAAAGAATAAGAAGGATTTGATTAACAATGGTTCACTTTCTTTTGCTTTTCAGGAAAAACTTACATGTTCAGGATTTCAAATGTCGGCTTGTTGACCTCCATTAACTTTTCAAAAGTTTACTATCATTCCCAGAGTTTATACGAATATAATGGTTTTCGTGTGATTCTCTGTTTTGTATGGAATTATTATTTTAGATTGGAATATACTTAGTTTGTATGGAATTTAACATTAAAAGTTATTCCTTTTTGGATGATTGGAATTGAAATGGATGCAAATTGCGAAATAATTGATAATATATGTATTGTTTTGTTTATATACATGGTATAGGTTGCACGGAATACATAAAGGTTATGGACAAATTAAAAAAAATATCATGTTTTTGGCCACTAAATAATTGGTAGCCAATAAGGAAGTAAATATTTTTAGCGACTAAATAGTTAGTAGCTAAAAATAAAACAAATAAAAAAAAAATTGGCGACTAAAATTTTAGTAACCAAATAAAAAAAAAAAAGACTTTAGGTGACTAAATTTTTAGTAGTTAAAAAAAATTACACCTTAGGTGACTAAATAGTAGCTAAAAAAAATAAGATGAACAAAAAAAACTTTTTGGCTACTAAATAAATTAGTCGTCTTAAATAATTTTAGTTTTGGCAACTAAATGTTTTAGCCGCTGAAAATGCGACATTAATTTTTCTTTGAAGCTTTTGGCGACTAAAAGATTAGTCGCCAATTTAGCCTATCAACGACAAAAGTTTTTTTTGTCGCCAATACGTTTACTTTTGGCAACTAGTTGTTTAATCGCCAATTTAGGACTTTCGGCGACTAAATGTTTTTTAGTCGCCAAATACCTTTCTTGACAATCTTCTTGCGACCAAACGATTTAGTTGGGAAAACTTTTTGGCGACTAAAATATGACTTTTGGCGACTAAAAATTTAGATGCCAAAAGTGTAATTTCTTGTAGTGTTGGTCTGAGTGTTCATGGTGAAAGACCGAAAATACGCACGGAGAAGGTACCACGTACCTTCCGGTTAGCAATCGGTAAAGTGGCGATTGGTTGTGCTTGATATGCCTACTTGCAGCTACCAACCTAAGGATTACTTGAGTCGCATTTACCACTCCTTGAACTATATTAAAATTATTGAATTGTTGTATTTTCAAATTTGCATTGTGCACAAGATTTTTAAAAGATAGAGAAATATGTTGTGAGTATGACATGACATATGTATTCATCTTGATAGATTGTATAAAATGTATATACCTTGTTAAGATCTTCCTACTGGGCTTTGTACTCACTCTAGTGGATTTATGCAGGACAAGGTGATATCGCCGAGTTAAAGGCGTAGAGTGTATTCTGAGGGCACAATGCTCTTTTTTCTTTTCTTGTTATTTTTGATAAGCCGAAGGCTTTACATATATGGATTTGATAACCATTTGTGTAACCGGATATAAGCCTTGGAACTTGTAGCCCTTGATTAAGTTGTTTTTGACTTGATATGCCACATGCTATAGATTCATATTCTATGAAATGTTGAATGTATAATTGCATGTGGAATGCTTTGGTAAATTTCTAGAGTATAATGAATACAAATGTTAGAGATTTGATGATGATGTTAATGATGAAGCATTATATCTCATATACATTTATGCAATAGAAGTTATCAAATTGGAAATAAGATCATGTTGTTGGAATATGTTGAATTTTCTTATGTTATTTACTATGGGGTGTTATAGAATGAGTCCAAAATACCCTATCTACAATTGATCTTCGTTATATAAACTATTATGAGTTGAAAACAAAATAGTTTATTTGCATATTTGTAAGGGATTTGAGATCTAATCTTGCGCTTCAAATGTTCCTTTGTATAGATGACTTTTTACTGCAAAAAAAAAAAAAAAAAAAAAAAAAAAAAAACCATCATTTGAAAACCTAAAACATATATGCAAATAAGTAAATTTGAACGCTTGAAGATCTCAAATAAAAAATAAAAATGTAAACAAAAATGTTGTAGAGTTATATAATCAAGTTTAGTTACATTTTGGATTAAAATCGAGTGTCCTCCTTCGAACACATAAATTAATAAAAAAATATAAAAAACAGAAAAATAGAATAATGGATGTGTCACGTAAGAAAGAGTTTTGTAAGATGTTAGGATTGAGGGTTCAGAGTTTTTTAAGCGACCACTATATCTGTTTATATAGATAGTATAGATAGATAGACAGATAACGAGATAGATAAATTGTAAATAGAAGTTTTATTTTTACTTATATATATATATATATAATAATAATACTATGATGATAATATTTAGTTTATATAGATAGTATAGATAGATAGACAGATAACGAGATAGATAAATTGTAAATAGAAGTTTTATTTTTACTTATATATATATAATAATAATAATAATACTATGATGATAATATTTATTTATTATCTCATGTATTAATAGTACATTAATAGATCTAGAATTCAAATTTTGAAAAGGTAAATACACATGTAATTTTTTATTTATTAATTTATTTTACTATTACTAATGCAATATATATAATACATGACACCACTCAAATCTGTTCTTATGGTAAATGAGAAGAAAATGGTGGCCATCAAGTATTATTATTAACTTCTGTTTTGTTTTTTGTTTTTTTTGTAATAATTGTAATCCTTCTTGTTGTTTCTTAACACCAATATAAATGGATTATTTAGTGTAACTTCTTCTAAATGAAAAGCTAATAATTATAGGGTAAAAATTAAAAGGACCATTCTCTCTCAATAATCAATTTATGTAAATTATTTCTATTTTATAAGTTATAATAAGAGGACAATAGCATAGACCTTAATTTATATTTTAATGTATTTATTATTGTCTTATTACATTTTTAAATGTGAGTATATTTCATTCGAGAGATTTTAATCACTACAACATTTTCTTAGTTTAGTGACATTTGAAAGTGCCACAAAACTATTGGTTTAATGACATTTTTTAGTCTTGTGGCATTTTGAACAAGTGCCATTTGCATCCGTGTCACGGTAGATACTAGTGCCACGGTAGATATTGCAAGTGCCACTGCACCATCATGGCTAAAAACTTTCAATGACATTTTGATATCATGGTAGATATTATTTGTAGCACTATCAAGCGCCATTAAAAAAAGAGTTAGTGACACTTATAAGTGTCATTACACCATCAAAACTAAAACCTTTCAGTGACACTTTAATGTCATGGTAGGCACTATTCGTGACGGTATCAACTGCCATTCGTGACGATAATTCGTTGTAGAATAATTTGATTTGCTCTTGTAGAGACTTGAATCACCAACCTCCCGCACCATAACCCTTATACACAACACTCTTCCCACTACACCTCTATAGCATCACATGATTATATATGCAACATATATTATTTATATAATACATATATCCATATCAATATAAAAGTATATGTATAAACATAATTATTTTATTGAACATAATTTAGCAAAATAAACTATTTACTAGCAAAATAAAAAAAGACCACTTTTGACTTTTAGTCGCCAATTCTATACTTTTGGCTACTAATTATTTTTTAGTTGCTAAAAAACTTTACTTTTGCCAACCAAAATCGGATTTGGTCACCGAAGATGCACTTTCAGCTACCAAAATTTTGATCCCCAAAAAATTTAATTCCCGCCTTAGGATTTTAGTTCTCCCGTGCTAAAAATGACCGCTTTTGGCGACTAAACTTATTTTTTGGTCACCAATTGTAGACTTTTGCCTATTAAAATTTTTTTTGGCACCAAAAAGCTTTAGTTTTGGCTACTAAAATTTTTTTAGTCGGTAAAACGCATATAATCAGCGACCAAAAATTAGTAGACTTTTGGCTACTAATTTTTTTTAGTCACCAAAAAGCTTTACTTTGGGCTACTAAAAATTTTGTAGTCCACTAAAACCCATATAATCAGCAACCAAACTTAGTTTTAATCGCCAATTGTAGACTTTTGGCTACTAAAATTGTTTAGTCGCCAAAAAACTTTACTTTTGGCAACTAATGTTGAAAGGTACTTTCAGCGACCAAATTTTTTTTGGTCAGGAAATTTAGTTGTCGAATGTGCTTTTTCTTGTAGTGTATATTGAGTTTAATTTATTTATTTTTAATCATTTACTGCATTTTAAAAATTTAGAAAATATATTGGCATTTTTTGTTTTTTCAAACATACCATTATAAGCTTGGAAAGTTTTTGGTTTAGTGGCATTTCTCAAAATATTATAAAATATTTGTTTATGACACTTTTCACCTAAGTGCCATAAAAAGTAATTTGCACCTACCTAGTGTCCTGACATTTTTTTAAAAGATGTCATTGCGACTAAAGTTTAGTGGCATCTGTTGGTAAATGTCACGAACATAATTTTGTATCATTATTTTATAAAATGCCATAAAATTGATGTGACTCTCGTAAGTGTTTGATGATTTTAGGTTGAGTGTTTTGAATTTTTTTTGGGTTTTGGAATTAGTTAATCTTGATCTAATCACAAATCACGTAGGATTTTCAACATTTAATGCCAATTTTTATTTTTGTGGCATTTTCTAAAAACATGCCACTAGTGTAGTGTCACTAAAGTGTAAATTTGTTGTAGTAACATTTTTGTTGTAGTGAGGTGACACTTTTTTTAATTGAAATGCCACTAGAGCCTTGTATGTTTGTGGCTCTATGACATTTTTCTACAAAATGTTACAAAATATTCTTTTTGTGACATTTTTTAAGAACATGTCACTAGTATAGTGTCATTAAAATGTGTTTTTGTTGTAATAAATGTAAAATAAAACTTATGAGTTCATAAGAATATTTAAAAGACCAAATGCTCCATAAATCATGAATATAAGATTTATTAATAAATGTCTCATTTTAAGACCTTCCTAAATGTCTCATTTTAAAATAAATATATTGATGTGAACACCACGATACATCTAATTTAATGCAATAATACAATGAAAAAGATCACATTCTCAATTTTAAGAAGCATCTAGTGATTTCATAATTACACTCATTGATGTGACAAATTTAACGAAGGCAGATTATGACAAAAATTTTACCAAATTTGGCTTTGGCTCAAAATTTGTGCCAAGTTTTTTATCAAATTTTAACTAAAGATTTGATCACTATTGGAAAAAATTTCTTTATGAAAAAACTTGATACCCACAATTTGTACCATAATTATTCTTAATCATATAAGTTGTAACCCTTTTGTCATATCATTGTAAGTGAATTATAAAACTTAAATTGTTAATT